GATGAATTTTTCTCTCTCTCTCTCTCTCTCTCTCTCTCTCTCACACACACACACACACACACACACACACACAAACCCCAAACAAACCCTGGCATAATCTATGTTCGATTTTATTTTGAGCTGTTGTTGCAAAAACAACATTTTTGTTTCCAAATACACGTCTATTGCACTTAATAGTTCTTCATCTTCACAAGTCATTTTGTCACCTGATTATCATGAACACAGGTGATACTTACATTTCTTTATATTTGCTGTCTATCCTGGAATGTTTGTTTAAATGCAGTAAACGTCAACATCCAGGCAGAAGGTTTTTTTTTCATCTTTTAAATTTCTCCTCCTACCTAAGCTAAGCAATGGCAAGCCTGATGGACAGTCCTATTTATATTTTAATTATGCAATACAAATATTACCACAATCTGTTCTGATATTTTGCCCATAGACTGCATGACTGTGTTTGTTTGTTTTATTACTACAAAAATACTCTAAATTGAGTAGGATCTGCATCCAGAGGAAGAAGATTTTTCACATGCACAGAAGGGCTGTACTACACTGAGAAAACTCTGTTTTCCTTTTACTCTTCCACTGGCTTCATCTAAGGGTTATTTGCTTACTGTTCCGCTAAATTAAAATCTTTATCTTTTTGGATATAAGCAATGCCATGTTTCTGGGTGTTTCTACTTCCATTCCCAACCAAAGCAGGAGCTGTGTACCGTACTTCAACATAGGACGGTAGAGGATTCACTGCATGACTGTTCATCTCTTTGTCTGCAGAGAGGGAGAAAATCAAGTCCACATCCCCTGAGGTGAAACTTGATACTAACAACACATTTCAAAACTGACTTTTTAAGGGAGCTTTCACATTCCCTTATAAATCACTGAGGCATACTGTGTGTGTTTTTCCAGTGGGAGTATGATGTGAATTTAGAATGACTAAATTTATTCACAACTGATTTGTGTCTGAGATTTTGCTTTGTTCCAGCTTCACACCCTTGAAAATCTGTGATTCCACATAAAAAGGTCATGCCACATCTCCTTCCCAGTTGTTTTTGCACCTTCATTATGCATGTTTTTTAAAAACATTTTTACTGGAAGTGTATAACTACATACAGTACATATATGAAAATGACACTACACCTCCCAGCCAAACCCTTTGGATTGTTTATGATGTTTCAGTGGACCAATAAAAAGATTAGCAACCTTGTTTTTGGACTTTGTGCATCTTTTAAGAAGGGGTTACTTAGCCTACATAAATCATGAAATCCCCTGACCAGGGATCTCTAATAATACACTAGACCTCTGTGGGAATCAGTGTCTAACTGGATAATCTGAGTGACGGAGACAGTTGCAACTATACCTTTCAATCATTATCAATGCAACAAGGCCAAAAACCCGTTTTGGGGGAAGGGGCAGCTGCCGTGGTAATAAGTATGTACAAACTAGCGTAATTGGAATCCTGATTCAGAATAACCAGCGTAAAACACATAGACTTACTTACCACTGTGGTCCAGTACAAAATCATCTTGAGCATAACGGTATTTCTCAGGTCCACAAGCAATGAAGACATCATCATCACCAAAAAAGTCTTGCAAGCAGGTAACCTTTTAAAAAGACAGGACAAAGCAAATAATTTCTCAGTAAACCATATAAACTAAGAACAGTTTTTATTTTGTGGTATGATTCTGCATTACAAGAGGCATTATTGTTGTGCCCATATTTGAAAATATTAAGCACAAGTCTTTAATATAAGGAAAATATATTTGTACTCCTAACCTGTCTTGGGTCCAGGCAGCAAATTTTGTTTTTTCATGGAATGTGTAGTCAGTAGCAACTTCTGCCAAGTGTTTAAGTAGATGAGAATGCATGTGGAATGCATAAATATGGATATGTGTACACAAGCATGAATGTTTCCACACATAAGCACAACTTCATGCATTCTTGTCACACCCTAAACTCATAATATGTCCAATATCTCTTTAACTTGCCATTTGAGCTATTAGACCTGGATTTGCCCAAACTCACAGGAATAATAAAAGAAAAAGAAAAAAAAAAGAAGACAAAAATGCTGTGGCACCTAGCACAGACTATGGTGTTACCTCTTCTAAAGGAATAATAATGTATTCTAACATCCTTTTCTTTTACAATCTTCACCAGTCACTGCCACCAACACTTAGTTACTCCGATGTGTCTGTTATTTTTGTTCTCTTTCTTGCATTTACCATTCCCACCAACTAGTCAACCCTCAGCTAATCAACATGGTGAACCACTTGGCTTGAACTATACCGAGTAACTTTTATTTCAGAAGCAATTTTGGTAAAATGAAGTTTTATTTCTAAATTTAATCTAATTCTTATCCATTCCCCCACTCTTTTCAGTTCAATCCTCACCAACCTGCTCTATTTGGCTCTCCTCTCTCTCTCTCCCCCTCCCTTCCTATCCAATCAATAAAAACCATTCTTGTCAACCACTCCATGCACCACACTCAGCCACACTCCTCACTTACTTACTATGTTTATATACTCTAAGCAAGTCACTTGTCATTCTTACATAAATCAATACATTTAACACAACCAAGAATCACAATGGCCTCCCCCATTCTCTACAGGTGTTCTCAGGGGACTCTTGACACATATATTTGCCCATCTCACAGGCACTTTTGTGAGTCATCTCACTCATCCTCAACTGACAGCTTCCTTCGAAGAACCCACAGGTGGAGTGCAGCAGAGCGAAAGCATAAATAGAAATAATAAAAAGAGGCTACTTACCTGAACTCTGGTTCTTTGAGTGGTCATCTGTGAGTTCACACTAATGGGTTAATCTGTTCCTGCGCAGAGCAGCCTCAGAACTTTCCAGAGCTCGAGTACATGGTCCCAGGACCTCCCGCATGCTGGCTATAACTCCACCCCCGGCACCGAATGCCTCAGTTCCTCAGAACTGTATGCAGCTACACAGCATATAATAGCACATGTTATGGATAGCGGGGAGGAAGGGCGGGGAGTATGAATTCACAGATGACCACTTGAAGAACCAGAGTTACAGGTAAGTAACCTCTTTTTCTTCTTCATGATCTCTGTGAATGCACACTAATGTGTGACTAGCAAGCTCACTTACCCAGAGGAGGGATGTCACAAGAACACAGAAGACAGGACAGCACGACCCACTGCAGTCTCAGACCTGGCCTGGACGTCAAGGCAGTAGTGGCACACGAAGGTGGATGATGTGGCCCATGTGGCAGCTCTACATATGTCCACCATGTCCACCCCTCAAAGAAAAGCAGTCGAAGAGGCTACTGCCCTTGTTGAGTGTGCTTTAACTGTGCCTGGGAGAGGTGTCTGAGCCAGCTAGTAGGCAAGTCGTATGTTCACCACAATCCACCTGGAGATGGTCTGAGAGGTGGCTGGCACCCTTCTAGAAGGGCCATGGAAAGCTACAAAGGGTCTTTTTGAAGTGCAGAAGGTAGCAGTTTGATGAACATAATAAGAGACAGCCCACTTAATGTCTAAGGCAGTGGTCAGCGAACAAGGGTAAAAATGGGATAAAAATGAAAATCCTTGGGGTAATGAGATGCGACCCTAATAAAATGAAAATCCTTGGGGTAATGAGGACGTGACCCTAACGCCTTCCCTCCTCCTCCTCTTCTGCCCAGAGGGGGGCACTGGCTGCCCGATTGCCCCTGCTCCCTTCTTTGGCCCGGCTGCAACCGAGCCATGGTGGATGGTGGCCAGTGACGGCCCCCACCTAGCGGTGTACGGCAGCCAAGGCAGCGGCGGTGGGGCCAGCCATGGTGGAGGGCAAGGCCGGGGAGGAGCCTCTCCTTCCAGTGCCTGGAGAGGTAGATCATAGCAGAGGGGGGCGGCCAGTCTCAGCCTCCCAGCTCTGGGACACTTCCCCATCTGAGCTCATCAGGTGGCAGCAGTATTCGCCCAGGCGCAGCTTCCAGTGCCTGGAGAGGTGGATCATAGCAGAGGGGGGTGGCCAGTAGCAGCCTCCTGGCTCTGGGACACCTCCCCATGCCCTGTCCCCATCCGAGCCCATCAGGCGGCAGGAGCGCTCGCCCAGGCGCACGGCTTCCTTCGGCAGTGCCTCCATGTCGGTTGGCTGGGCCTGGCAGAGCCTCTCGCCCTCCATGTGGCAGCTGTCATGGCACTTCGAAGGGGAAGCCCGTCAGAGCCCTGACACCAAGGCCCGATGTGGCCGCCCTGGCAAGCAGCTGTTGGTGCCGGAGCGGTAGACAGCATCAGGCACCCCCAGTGGGCGAGCCACTTGCTGCTCTTTGACAGCTGCCCAGGAGCCACCCACTGGCGGAGAAAGGGAGCCACCCCCGCAGTGCCAAGGACTGCGCGCAGCCTCGCCAGGCGGAGGAGGAGGAGGTGGCGGTGGTGCTCGACTGGCCACACGTGGTCGAGACCATTTCAGTGCCAAGGACTGAGCGCAGCCTCGCCAGGTGGAGGAGAAGGAGGTGGTGGTGGTGGTGCTCGACTGGCCACGCGTGGCCGAGACCCTTTCAAATCAAGGGGGTAATGTCGGTGTATATAAATTTTGTAGGGGGTAAAAAGTAAAAAAGTACCCTGACCCCTGGTCTAAGGAGTGCAACAAATTTTTTAGGGGGTAAAAGGTAAAAAAGCACCCTGACCCCTGGTCTAAGGAGTGCAACGCTCTCTCCAGTGGTGGGGTAGGTGCTGGGGAAAAGCATAACTGGCTGCATTTTTTAGGGGGTAAAAGGTAAAAAAGCACCCTGACCCCTGGTCTAAGGAGTGCAACGCTCTCTCCAGTGGTGGGGTAGGTGCTGGGGAAAAGCATAACTGGCTGCCTTAAAATGAAAATAAAATGACACCTTAGGTAGGAAGGAGTGCGTATAGGACCAGTGGTGGGGTAGGTGCTGGGGAAAAGGCGGGCAGCATAATTGGCTGACTTAAAACGAAAATAAAATGACACCTTAGGTAGGAAGGAGAGGTCTGCGTATAGGGTCACCTTGTCAGGCTGAAATTGGAGGAATGGAGGGTCCATCCTTAAGGCAGCTATCTCCCCTGCCCTTCGAGCCAAAGTAACTGAAAGAAGAAAGACGGTCTTCAAGGTCAAAAGGCGATCTGACACTGAAGCTAAGGGTTCAAAGGAGGCTTCATAAGCCTATTAAGGACCAGCTGAAGTGACCACTGCAGCGTGAGAGGCCTGTAGGCTGGGCGCATGTTCCTTAGCCCTCACAAAAATTGTTTCAGAGTTGGGTGCTGAAAGAGTGCAGCTGCCTGAGAGGAAGATGGCTGGTGGGCCACTATAGTCACCATATTTACTTTTAAAGTTGATTGGGAGAGACCCCACCAAAACAAGTGAAGCAGAAACTGCAGGACTGCGTTGAGGGATGTTGGGCTGACTGGTAAGTGACAGGATGTCATAAACTTACAGAAAGCTTTCCACTTATAGGCATATATCAGGGAGGTGGAGTGCTTTCGTGCTAGACTGAGAACCTCTGCTATAGACGGAGAAGCCTCCACGCCATCAGGTGAAGAGACTGCAGGTCTGAGATGGAAGACCTTGTCATGGGTCAGCAGGTGGGGAACGAGTGCCAGCCTGATGGAATCCGATGCCCTGTCTTGGAGCACCGAGAACCATGGAGGGAGGGGCCACTAGGGGGCTATGAGAATGGGATTCATTTGTCTTGCTAGCAGGTGGGGAACGAGTGCCAGCCTGATGAAATCCAATGCCCTGTCTTGGAGCGCCAAGAACCACGGAGGGCAGGGCCACTAGGGGGCTATGAGAATGGCATTCACATTGTCTTGCCGGATTTTCACAATGGTTCTCTGTAAAAGTGGAATAGGAAGAAACATGTAGAGCAGGTGTGAAGTCCAGCTAAAAATAAAGGCACCCCCCAGGGAGCGGTGGCCTATTCCCGCCCCGGAGCAGGTGGGCCTTACATTTCCTGTTGTCCTGAGCCGCAAAGATGTCCAGCTGTAGAGTGCCCCAACAATGGCAAAGCTGTTGGAAAACGGTTTCGTCTAGAGACCACTCGTGAGAACAGGACTGGAGCCTGCTGAGGTGATCCCTGAGAGCATTCCCCTCACCTGCCACATGGACTGCCTCTGGGTATATGTGGCGCATGAAGCACCAGTCCTAAAGGTTGATGGCAAGATAAAGCAGATGAAGCAAGTGGGTGCCCCCCTGCTTGCTAGTGTAAAACACTGCTGCTGTGTTTTCTGTCGCGACTTGGACTACCCGGCTGTAGTGTTCACCCTTTTGTTAGGTATAAGTCATGTATTATTCATGTATATGCTAATGTGTTGAGAGGCAGAGCGTGAGAGGAGGGGTCGGTCAGTCAAAAGTCAGTCAGGAGTGAGTCAAGAGTTAGTCAGAGTCAGAGAGTCAGAGAGAGAAGGAACAGATATTAATAGAGCTAAGCTGGTTAAGATAAATAGATAGAGAAGGCGGTAATCAATTATATCAAAGAAGAAAGTATGTATAGAGAGACCTGTGAATGATTTGCTTGTGTATAATGAATATCTGAAGAGCATCTGTGATTATTATTAACTTTGCTACACTTCAATAAATAAGTTCTGTTTGCATTTACCAGACAAGTGTTTGGACAAATATCTTTTATATTGTGGATAGA